TAATTCACCATATTCACAACAACAACAACAAATTGAATTTAATGAAGAAGATACAAAAATTCTTTATGAAGATCTTGATTTAGATATTGATAGTTGTACACAATATTTAATTGATTTTATATTTGATAAAATTGAATTTGATAAACAAAAACAATATATTATTATTTATTATCATAATCAAATGTTAAAAATAAAAAATTTAACACAAAAATTTTTACAACCAACATCAAAAAAACTTCGATTAACATCAAATAAAACATCAACATTAGATTCATCAATAAAAACAATTGATGAAGAACAAGTTACTATTGTAACACAATGGCTTGATCAATTAAATCGACAAAATTTTATAACAATAACAGAACAAAATGATATTGTTATTCTTCCTAGTGGAGAAGATGATGAACAACAAATACTTATTAATCATGATGATGTTGATAAATATATGGAAAATAAACTTAAAATATCAAAAGCAACTGATGAACCTGAACTTATTATTATGAATGATATAGCACGAATATTACTTTTATATAATTATGTTCAATATTCATCTGGACATTTAACATATGGTACACAACGTATAGCATTAGATCGAAATGAATTATTATGGTTAAGATCAATTATACGTGGTGTAAGAATTCATGAACAAAATCGAGAAACAGAAGTTGATTTATTTGATGGAGAACATACACAAGTATTACGATTACCATTTGAACACATGTTACCAACAAATGATCGAAATTCAGTTGCAAATTATTTATTTGAAAATGGTACTGTTCGATATGATATTGATACAGGAAATTATGCATATCGTTATGTACAACCTGATATACCATTAGAAGATGATATTGATTCACCTGAACGTATCGGTCAACGTCAAATTCTTTCATCACATATTCGTCATATTCATGTTGATGAAGATAAAAAACGTATTGAACTTGAATTTATTCATGATCAAAATCATCGTTTACAATTACCATCACGTTGGTATCATCAAGCTGCAGCTCATGGTTTTGATCGTTCTTACATTATTGATATGTTACTTGCTAATGGTGGTACTATTGATCATGATACATTTATATTTAATGGTCAAAGTTATTCATTACAAGTTCCACGTGTATTATCAACATCATCAACAATTCCAACAGCAAATCTTCAAACATTAAAATTATCAACAAAAGAAAAACAAAATCTTATTGAAAATTATGTTGAATTTATAAATAAACAAGATGGTATAAAACGTGATAATACAAATAATTTATTATTATTAGAAAATGAAACTGATGGTTCACAATTATATTTAACACCTGAACATAGTCAATTTATACATCAAAATAAATATCGACGACAAGATGTTGCCTATTTACTTAATAAACATGGACAAATAAAACAGGATGAATTTGATAATTGGTTATTATATTATAATAATCAATATGTTCAATTTCCACCATCAATTATTCCACCACCATCAACAACAACAAATAAAGCTAATGTAATACGTTCATTAGGTCAACGATTTATACGTCCAACACCATCAACAATAAATGAAGATGATAAAGAATTTCGTGCTCGTTTAGCACAAGAAACAAAAAATGAATTTATTGAACGTTATCATGCAACAATTAATTATATGTATCATCATAATTTAATAGCATGTAATAAACGTTTAAAATTAGTTAAATTACATTTTTCAAATCAAACATTAATCATACCAATGGATCATTTACGTTCAATTATTGATACACGTATATTAAATTCAACAATTGATAATCAATTACCATTTCAAAGTCAACAATTATCAGAATGGTTATTAGAAAATTCTGACACAATAAGTAATACACGTGAAGGTTATATACAATTAACACATAAAAATAAAATATATAATTTTCCATTAATAAATCCAAATCAATTAAAATCACAATCAACATTATCAGCTATAGTACCACGTTATGGTTTAACATCAAGAGAACCAACATTATTATCAAAAATTGATTTAACAACATCAGATAATCAAATACGTTGTGCTAATCATTTACTTGAAAGACTTGATGAATTAGGTTGTATTAATATTGATAATGATACACGTACACTTATTCTATCAATGACGCCAGATAAACAACAAAAATTAATAATTAATAATCCTCAATTACCTGTTACAAGACAAACATTAACTGATTATTTAATAAATCGTGGTCGTTTTGTATTAAATTCTGATCGTAAAGATATTGAATATCGTCATTATGATGATGGACGTATATATCGTTTTACTTCATTTATACGAGATTGGAATAATGTATTTGATGAAACATATGACCAACGTACTGTACGTATATTAGGTGAAATTTTATCATTAAATGGAAGATTTTTACAACGTGCTGATAGACAAATAATAATATCATTAAGAAATGGTGAACGTTTTATTATACCAAGTGATATTGGTTCACAATTAATTGGTCCTGTTAATGGACAAACTATAGCTAGATTACTTTTTGAATATGCTGATGATATACAAGAAGAACAAGATGGAAAATATTTAATTATTACACTTGGTAATCAAACATTACGTTTACAACAACAAAAACAATTAATGTCAACAGGACAAATTTCAACAATAACACCAGCTAAATCAACAATTGATCCAAAATTAAAATTACTTTTTCCATTTAATAAATCATTAAGACAAATAACAAAAACACCATCAACATCAACATTAAATATTCAACCACCAGATGCATCAAATGGTTATGCTATTGATCCATTACTTATGCTTGCTAATTATATATATCGTGCTGGTTCAATATATCAAGATGATCTTGGTCGTTTAGTTATTAAAATGGATGAACATGAAATTGTTGTACCACGTATCGAAGCTATTAATGCTATTGAAACAATAAATACATCACCACATCGTAC